ACCTCAAGAAAGGAAGTCTTCTGCAAACGCCTTGTTTTTTGGTTGCCTCCAACTTATGCTTTTCATGCTGACATGTCTGCCAGAAGATACTCATCTGAAGAAGGATGGAAATTTTGATTTTTGTCTTCCTTAGAAGAGCTTTTAGGATCGATTGCAAGGCTATGCGGGCCGAGTGCCTAGAGGCCTGAGAAGTTGGATAGCTTGGCTATGTGCCAACTCTGACTTCATTTCTTTTTCAGGAGTGGCTGAAGGCTTACTCTCGAAGACGCTATGGTAAGACGGTCCATCAAGTTGAGGCAGCTTGGGAAATACTTTATCACACTATCTACAATTGTACAGATGGAATTGCTGTATGTCTCCTAAAACTTCTATCAATCATCATGTACAGTATTTGCCTTCTTCGGTTTTCGAGATTTTGCTTTTGAAATGCTTCATCACTCGGGCTGCATATTATTTTGTTTTACTTCCTAGAAGAGGATAGTCAAGAAATTTGTTTGACAATATTTCTCAACGTCAAAGATATGATGTATCTGATGTATGCTAGCTATAAAGAAAGTCTTATGCTTTTCTGAATGTTCCTTGCAATGCACAAGATGCTCTTTGAGTGGCTACTCAAAGATGAATATGATTGGTCACTTTGAAACTGAACTGGGTTGCACTAGCATCTTCTGATGTGAGCTTTTATCTGCAACTAGGGCTTCTGATGTTTCCTACTTTATGATTTTGACATGGTTTTTTGTATTGCCTAGCAGCATTTTTTACAGATTAATGAGCATTTTTGTCTCTAAGATCAATTTCTGGCAAAAACCACTGTTTCTTTCCTTCAGGACCATAATACAGATTTCATAGTCAAGTTTCCGGACTGGGATCCATCAACAATCTCGGCATCTAGCTTTGGAAAGCAAGAGAAAATGCTATTGCCCATTAATCTGCCCCCTGCTAGAAGATTTTTGTTTCAAGTGATGGGCTCTGACTTTCCTCAGGCACATTTGTGGTATTCTACTCATTACGTGGTTGATGCTTTGGAGCTTTTCCTTGACGCTGGGAATCATCTCAAGGAAAGTCTACCATTTAGGTAGAATCTCAGACCTTGTTAAGCTTTGCTTTTTAAAATTTTCTCACCTTTCTACATTAAAAGAGTGGATGACCCAGCGGAAGTACCCAGGAAATCACGATTGCCTTTTTACTAGGTAGATTTAACATGAAGAACTTCATTGCAAATATATGTCTTTGAGCTTAAAAAAGAAAGGCAGAGCTGATTGGATTTGATTTTTGCTTTTAGCAGGGTCATGCTAATTTAGAAAGTTCATTTATCTTATTCTCAGTTGTTTTAATGGGAATCATATGATTGACGGGCAAGTCCACTATGAGTCTTCTAATCTAATGTTTCTACCTTTCTTTGTGTCCATTGTGGTAAATTAATTTTCACACTTAATGATTTAATGCTTATCATGATTCAATTAATCATTGCCGAAACAATTATTGGTCATTCTTCTTCCATAAACTAGGTTAGAATGATTTTCTCATGGAGTGTACCATGTTAACAGGTATGACTTGGTCGACTTAACACGGCAAGTACTATCAAAGCTAGCAAATAAGGTATATGTGGATGCTGTGACTGCTTTTCAGCAGAAGGATGCTAAAGCTCTGCATTTTCACAGCAAAAAATTTCTCCAACTTATAAAGGATATCGATTTGCTGCTTGCGTGTGATGATAATTTTCTTCTTGGGACATGGCTTGAAAGCGCCAAAGCATTAGCAATGACTCCCAGTGACTCCTAGAAAGTTCACTTATCTTACCGTGAAAGTTAAGACAGGCTCGGCTGCTACTGCAATAATTCGAGATTTTGCAACCACTCAAAATATGTAGAAAGGAAACTTGATGGAGACAATACCTTCTTTCGGGAACTGCACGAGTGGCTTGAAATATTCAGCTTCAGCCATATGAAGTGCATTCTGTGTATTGCTGGACAGAGCATTTAACAATTTGTGTGCATCATTTGAGGCAATCGAATCTTCGCAGTTAAGCATAGCCACCAACATAACAATACAGCCCTGTATTCTGCCAATTTGCCTCCTGACTGTGTTAAGATCTGAGAGACTAAGCAACATTCCTTAGTCTATCCTTGTCTTCTTCATCAAGCATTCTCTTCTCTTCTTCCCACTTTCTAGTCTCTACCCACCGAGTCCCCTCCTCCTTCCGTCTCTGTCCCTCCCTCCCTCCCTCTCTCCCTCTCCCCGTAGCCAGCTTAATGATGATAGCCTTCATTGTTTTAACATTCCATAATTTCATTAATCAAATACAGAATGGCTAGAAAGAATCAAGATATGGTACCTCGGACGAGATACTTACGCTGTCTTGATGCTTTCGGAAGCTTCACGCTGATTTGGATCACCTTCCACGAGGTAAATCAGCTTCTTAAGCCCACACCTCTAAAACATTTGTAATACCCAGTGTCAGCTTAACCATCGATGATCGCATCAAAAAGCTATTACACAGTGCACGCTAATGGGATTCTCATCTGATTCTGAAGTTAGGATTTCATCAGTTTACTCCAACAGAACAAAAACATGATAGGTCACACCTATACTGGATATCAAGTAAATTCTGCGGGAACCATAAGTTCTCTTACTAAGCTTTGCTCTCCTGCTTATTTTAATCACATTAGCTGATCAACTTTGGTGAAAAATTCTTTATAGTTGTTACAAACTATTGATACTAAATTACTAATATCAATAGCAAAAGTTTTTCTCCTATGGATCCAGTAACAGACAGCATCTTTTTGTCCTAACTACCTCTACATGTCAAAACATGAAAGAATGCTTTGCCTGCACTGCTAAGACACCAAATCAAGATAAAAAAAGAAATACGAGGTCTAACTTCAGGCTGCATAGGGTAAAATTTTGTAAAAGACCATCAAAACAAAATAAGAAATGACAAACTCTGCAGGTGATTTACACAAGGATTTACACAGTTACTTGATGATTTAAATAACTGTGACTGTAGGTACTAGTACCTTGAATTTCTGATCCTTATAGCGATTATCTCTGATGGAAGAACGCAAATCCTCAACCTTCTTTCTCTCTACTATTAAATCAAGAACATATTCAGAATCATGATATTTATGACGAGCTATCCAGATTTCATCTCCTACCAAGACCGCCTGACCTGCAAATAATTTTGATGAAAGCAATACAAGGGCGATCAGGCAAGTTCAAGATCGTGGAATATTTTTTTTATGTATATGACATTCGTTAACTCGACAGTATACTACTTCATTGCGCTATGTGATAATCCAACTTGATGTCGATATAGAATTAGCATATTTGGGTTCACGTAAACACTATCAGTGCAAACAAAAAAAATACATAACTGTAAATATATTATGTATCTAAACATGATAAGGCGCCTGGATTATTAATTTTTTGACATGAAATAAGTGAAGTGAGTTTCATAATATATACTGTTGTGAAAATGATGTGCGCTAATCATATGTTAATTTAGTGCCTCTCAAGTCATCTATAAAATTCCAAACTCATAATATAAGAAGACAGTGATTTTTGTTTCATGAGAAAGGGTTATTAGCAACATCCGCTAAATAAATTATCAATTTAAACAAAAGACATCTCAAACTTTTTTAGAAAATGTTTTACGTACTAGAATATTTTCGTTCGAAAGATGATCATATTTGTCTAAAAATTTGATAGTTTGGAATTATCTATTGTGAAAATGTCTCCTCTCCGACTCTCGCTCTGTCACTCTCACTCTCTCATTCTCCTCTCCGACTCTCGCTCTCTCTTGCTCTCACTCTCCTCTCCGACTCTCTCTCGCTCTCACTCTCCTCTCTGACTCTCCGGCGACTCACAGCCTCGACTCCGTCGCCGTCTCTCCGGCCTCGACGCACGGCCTGGACTCCGTCTCCATCTCTCCGGCCTCGTCTCCGTCTCTCCGGCCTTGACCGTCAACTCCCCCACGGCCACACCTCTGGCCCTCGCTCTCGATCGCCTTCAAGTAAGTTCGAATCCCTAATCTTTAATCTAATAATCCACATTGAACTCCTGAGGGGGCATTCTAATTAGGATTTTGAGTGGAACTCTAGGTTCTTGCTCAAGAGCGAGTTCCGACTTTCTCTCTTGCGGACCACCTTTTCGAGTGGAAAACTCATTCATTCGGAATGGTCACAGATTGAACAAGATTCAATCAAGGTGTGTAAGAAAGATTTTAGGCATCTGGGGGTAGCAGATACACAATAGTTGCATCGGCTAAGTTATCCCGAAAGATGTATAACTACTGAATGGATAATAAGGCCATTTGTCAAGGAAAAGAAAATGAAGAGTCTTCACATTAGCATAATTGTTCAAATGAAGGCTCCGGCATTCCTGTTAAGGATTCGATTGTTCCATAGCTTCAAAGCTTGGAGGCCTTGCCCGCTCTCCGTTCTAAAATAGAGAAAGGGAATAGTGGGGCCAGGGAAGAATTATAACCAGGGGAGTTGACTTGAGTTTGTATACGACATTCTTTATTTTGTAGCTTAGAAGGCTGTACCCATCCGTGATCTATCTATCAGATAAGAAGAATTATAGTAGGAAGACAGCACCAACCGATCTGGACTTTCTTTAAGGGGGAAACTTAGAAGCTCGACTTGAAGGCCTTCCTCAGAACTAACTATCAGGGGAGCCCATACCTAAGAGAGTAGTTTGACTGGCAAATGAGTCTTTCTATCTATTGTATTAATACCGCTGTCGCTAAATCTTTCCGTTGAAGAATCGGATGAAAGACTGCCAGAGGAAGGCTAAACTCTCGGAGCCTAGTATTAGCACTTCACTTACGGTTCTTCGATCTGAGGTCAGAGGAAAGTAGAACTATTAATCAGAGCCAGCATTTGCTGGTTGGTGGCTTCTTTAAAACGAGCATTCATAAAGTGGTCCCAGCGGTCTAATGGGTATAATGTCTTCGACGTACAGATCTGATTTAGTTAAATCCCTTTGCCAGGTCTTAAATGAATTCTATTTCGGATCCCGGTGTAGAGCAGACCATGTTTGTCTTTTCAGTTGTTGATTACATGGGAATAAAAGAAATGGCAATGTTACTTATCGGGTAGGCATTGACTGTAAAAGAAAATGGTTTGCGTTAAACTAACAATTGCATGCTTTCTGCAGGATCCACTTATATAAATATAAGATGGGTAACATGTGTTGCTATGTCCAAGTTGAGGAACGTACTGTAGCTATTACGAAGAGGTTTGGAAGGTTTGGACAGAACCCTTGAACCTCGGGCTGTCATTTTGTACCATGGATTTGCGGGTATCAGCTCGCCGGGAAGCTGTCACTCCAATGGCAGAGCTTGCTTGTGAAATGCAGAACAAAGACCAAGGTTTGTTCAATCTTTTGTCTTTTCCTTTTCTCGTTTCAGTTCTGTGAGATGACAGACAGCCTGTCACTTGTTACCAATTAACATGTAAATGCTTGAATAAGTAATGACCTCACGTGATATTTTTCTCACAGGACAATGATTTTGTCAATGTTATTGCACATGTGCAATACCGAGTCCATCAAGAAAGACAATATGAGGCCTTTTACATGCAGAGGAATCCAAGACGTCAGATCCAGGGATATGTGCTCAAGGGTATGTGCCAAATAAATTTCATCACATCAGTATAAATATAGTATTGGAACAAATTTGTACAATTTACATGCGAAAGTAGCATACTTTAGTCCTTCAACTAACACTTTGGGTAAGCAACGACTATTGCATGCCTGATTCTGGTGTTTCAATCATTCCAGTGATCGGAGCTATGGTTGCGGTGCGAAACATGGACGAAGTTTCTGGGCAAAGGGATGAAATTGCCAAAGCTATTATGGAAGAAATGAAAGAGGTAGTCCACTCTAGACTTCTTGATGTTATTATGAGAGATAAACTGAACTGGAGTTCTCTAAATTTTGCAGCCTGTGGGTCTCAATGGATATGAGATTCTGCAAGTCCAAATCTGGGATGTAAGTTTGGATAAGGGACTTGAGCAAGCTATGATTGAAGCCAAGAATGGTAAGCTTGAAATGACAATTACCAATTGATTCTAGATAATTGTTCATCATGGTAAAATTTGCTTTGTTTTTGTGGGTTGCAGCGAAGAGGAAGGCTGAAGTGGAGAGACACGATGGTCAAGAAGTGTCCACGTCCGCTGCTATGTAGTAGATACACGATGGTTAGCAATCCAATGGTAGAATTCTTTTGTCTTCTGTTCTGTTTGGGAAGCTTGATTGTGGAATGGTAATGAAGACGGTGTCTATATTTCTGTCGAGCAGTTTGTTGTGTATATAGGATGATGTGTTAAGAAGTCCTAATTTGACGAAAATAGGTGGTTTTGGTGTGTAAGCGTGTACTTCTAGTCTACTGTTTCAGAGGGGGCTTCTCTGTCAGATATAAGACAGTGAAAATTGAATGTTTGCTTCTCTGTACTGTTTGGGAAGCTTAATTGTTGAGCAAGTGTACTCTTTTTTTATATTAATACACAACAGATTGTTTGGGGTGTTCGTCCGCAAGTTTGGAAGTTGAAATGACAGTTGGTATAGGAGTTGCTGATTGGCTGTTAATTTTTATCTGAAGTAGTTTGGCGGCTGGATTTGGAGATATAGTGACAGGAGAAGGTAAAGAGAGATTCATGTTGAGCAATTGTACAGGGGCCATCAAATTCTTTTCAACATCCCAGGATGAAAGAATCGAACGATTTTGAAGGCATAGACATTGCACGGTCACACCATAATTTGTCGGGAGGCAGAAGATAGCAGCATGGTGGTTGTTTTTAATGCTTGTTAGAATTCTTTTGTCTTCTGTTCTGTTTGGGAAGCTTGATTGTGGAATGGTAATGAAGACGGTGTCTATATTTCTGTCGAGCAGTTTGTTGCGTATATAGGATGATGTGTTAAGAAGTCCTAATTTGACGAAAATAGGTGGTTTTGGTGTGTAAGCGTGTACTTCTAGTCTACTGTTTCAGAGGGGGCTTCTCTGTCAGATATAAGACAGTGAAAATTGAGTGTTTGCTTCTCTGTGCTGTTTGGGAAGCTTAATTGTTGAGCAAGTGTACTCTTTTTTTATATTAATACACAACAGATTGTTTGGGGTGTTCGTCCGCAAGTTTGGAAGTTGAAATGACAGTTGGTATAGGAGTTGCTGATTGGCTGTTAATTTTTATCTGAAGTAGTTTGGCGGCTGGATTTGGAGATATAGTGACAGGAGAAGGTAAAGAGAGATTCATGTTGAGCAATTGTACAGGGGCCATCAAATTCTTTTCAACATCCCAGGATGAAAGAATCGAACGATTTTGAAGGCATAGACATTGCACGGTCACACCATAATTTGTCTGGAGGCAGAAGATAGCAGCATGGTGGTTGTTTTTAATGCTTGTTAGAATTCTTTTGTCTTCTGTTCTGTTTGGGAAGCTTGATTGTGGAATGGTAATGAAGACGGTGTCTATATTTCTGTCGAGCAGTTTGTTGCGTATATAGGATGATGTGTTAAGAAGTCCTAATTTGACGAAAATAGGTGGTTTTGGTGTGTAAGCGTGTACTTCTAGTCTACTGTTTCAGAGGGGGCTTCTCTGTCAGATATAAGACAGTGAAAATTGAGTGTTTGCTTCTCTGTGCTGTTTGGGAAGCTTAATTGTTGAGCAAGTGTACTCTTTTTTTATATTAATACACAACAGATTGTTTGGGGTGTTCGTCCGCAAGTTTGGAAGTTGAAATGACAGTTGGTATAGGAGTTGCTGATTGGCTGTTAATTTTTATCTGAAGTAGTTTGGCGGCTGGATTTGGAGATATAGTGACAGGAGAAGGTAAAGAGAGATTCATGTTGAGCAATTTTTAAGCTTTCATACGATGAAGAGAGAGAGAGAGTGTGAGAGATCTGCAGGTGCAAAGTCACTAATTGAGAAGAGGGAAGGTGTTGAAATTTTTTTCCTCAAAAGATTAGTTTGAAAGCCGCGGCAGTGTGTACCAGATTCTCCTCTGCCTGGCGTGCATTCACAAGATTGGTAGGTCGAGATCGGTCGCTTTTACTTGTAAGTTGTAACTAAATATACAAACAGGGCAAACCATTGCCTAAATTAAAGAAAAACAGGGTTAGAAAAACTGAGGGAGCACTCTTTTAGTCAATTCGTAAACTACACGGAAATGGGAACAAAGATGACAAGGGATTAAAGCCACAAAAGTACCAGGACAAACCATTCATTTCTCTTTTCGATTCGCCGCTTCATTGATGACAATTTCATGGAAATGAATGTTAAAAGCATTTAACGATAGAGAGAAAGAGGGGGGAATAGCTGAGCCTTTGATTTAAGCTATCAAAATTACAAGTTCCAACCATCTATTCTTTCTTGACAAGTAGTCCTAATAAAAGATCAAATAATACACAAACAAGAAAGACATCTGACTGCTGCACATTATGCCTCAATCCCTGTATCCTCTCATCAGTGTTCTTCAGTTCATCTTGCTTGGCCTTCACGAGCACGAAGGTCACGATGGCAGGGCTCCTGGAGGAAAAGATGCCAATGGGGCTCTCCGGAGGCCGAGGCGAGCGCCTTCTTAATCTGCAGATCAAGACATCTTCGATAAAAAAGAAAAATAAAAGTAAGATTAGTACGTGTAAGTGAAAAAACAACGTGCTGACCTCGCAAGTACAAAACGGTATACTCAGACCAGTGAATTAAAACCTAGGATGGCATTAAGAACCCATCTCAAATAACAATGGCTTTAGAAAGAATGAGTAGTTCATGTTCAGCCTATTCTAGCATATCATAAGAGTATAATGGGATCTGCTGAAACCGTGATTTCGCATTTGTTGTTACAAACTGTGGTTGGGACAAAGCATACAAACTGTGAAACTTATGCAAGGGAGAAACCTTTGCAGCACTCATGATAGGCTGTGCATCAATGCCTGAGCTCTGCATTGCTTCTTGGGCTTTCTTTGAAGCCTCGAAAAGAGCTGGGGAGTTCTCCAGCTTTCTGCAACAATGAAGCCGCAACATCTACACCCGGTTTCAGAGCATCTGCAACAATTTGGAAAATACTCTGTGCAGTGTTTAAAAATCCCGAGCTCACTTCCTGAACGTGGTCAATCGTCTTCTCAACCTGCCAATTCAAATTTCAGAAGCAACTTCAAGATACCAATAACAGGGCTTTCACCGTTGAAATAATCTTTGCGACTCTTTACTAAAAAAAAAAAAAATGCAGGAACTTTTACCTCCGTGATAGAAGAGAAAATCTAGTCTTTGGGGAGGCTGACAGCTCCAGCTTCATGGGGAGGCGAGAAGAGAGCAATGGAGCAGAGAGCGGCGAGCGCCGGATTTTTTCGAACGAGCGCCGGAGCAAGGACGGAGTGAGCGTCGAAGCAGGGGCGACCTTAACGTGCTTCATCCTGTGGTTCAGAACCAATAACAGTTGGGTATAACAATATTTCTGCCCCTTGCAAAACCGGGAGGATCATAGTCCACTCTAGATCCAAGGCAATCATACAGCCAAGCTTTTATCTTACCATCAATGGCAGTGGAGAAAATAAACTGCAATAATGAAAAAGTGAGTTATATAGTCGACTCTGGGAAACTGCTGTCAAAATAAATTTACCAGCTGCACATCTAATTCGGAAAAACTGGTAATACAGTCTGCTTGAAATGATAGAGTATAAGCCAAGAAAGTAGAAAGCGGCAAACTGCTCTCAAAGCAGATGAACCTGAATATTTTCCTTGTAACGTGGGCAGACTGAATACACTGGAGCTTCATCGGAGCAGGGGTGGCCTTAATGTGCTTCGTCGGCGACGGTGGGGGAACAGCCACTTGACGAACGCTGGAGCAGCGAGCGAGCGAGCGAGCGTCGGATCGCAAGAGAGGGAGACCTTTGCTTCGTCGGAGCAGGGGTGGCCTTAATGTGCATTGTCGGCGAGGGCGGAGGAACGACCGCTTGACGAACGCCGGAGCTGAGAGCGAAGACGAGGGAGACCTTTGCTTCGTCGGAGCAGGGGTGGCCTTAATGTGCTTCGTCGGCGAGGGCAGAGGAACGAGAGCTTGACGAACGCCGGAGCTGAGAGCGAAGACGAGGGAGACCTTTGCTTCGTCGGAGCAGGGGGTGGCCTTAATGTGCTTCGTCGGCGACGGCTGGGGACGGCCGCTTGACGAACGCCGGAGCAGCAAGAAACGGCGGACCAGCGAAATCTCAGCGCGAAAAATTCAAAATTTGTGTGCAGGGCAGAGAGGGGGAGACACCTGTTTGCTTTTCTTCTCCTCCTTCGGATGAGGAAACGAAAGGACGGATAGGACTTAGGAATAAGAGAGAATATGCGAAAAAAGCAGAGCACCGGCTAGCATTCAGGCTAGGTGAAAGGATGAAAATTACTTTTTTGTGGAGGAAATCGGGGCTGGTGAGCCGGCCCCACGGCTCCACGTGGAGCCACGTGGATTCGCATGACGCTTCATGAGTGGTTCGGGACCACGCTGACTTGGCGATCCGAGACCACCTAATATTTTCTCATTAGTTACCAGTGTTATTACCAGTCACTCACTCACTCGGATAATCTCATTCGACGCGGTTGGTCGGTCTATCAGAGGCCGACACGCGCTCTTCTCTCTTCTCTCTCCCGTTCGCTCCTCCCCCACCACCTCCTCGCGTGCTGTTATAGGGACGGTGGAGAGAATAGAGAGAGAGAGATGCTCATTAGACCTTGAACAGTCAACTTCGAACAAAAGCCAATTTGAGACCATCTCTCCTCCCTTATATATATATATATTAAAAATGGAAGCTCGCCTTTTGCGGGCGGGTGGATCCGTGGATGGACACTCGACAGCTTTTCTTGCTCTTTTTTCAATTCTTCTCCTTTGTTATATATATTAACAAAGCAACGACTGAGTTATAAGGATGAAAGGGTAGGTTGCTACTTCAGGACGGTTGCTCCGATCGATGGAAAAGTCATCCGGGATAAAATAGTTGTTGATTGTGCAACCGTTATGTGAATATATGAAGACATTTTGGCTCTTTAGGCTCATTTTCGTGCTCTGTAATAAAATCCTTTCAATGTCAGCACACTCATTTATCCCGATATTGTTATTGAATAATATAAAAAAATTCTCGTACAATCACCACGCCACCACGGTCATTGGCCTGCTCCTAGACATATAGCTTCACCCTAACTCAGGAGAACTTACACC